ACATGAGCCTATAGAACATTAACTGAGCCGTCTCCAGCCTGCTACCAACTCACACACTATCATTCCATCACATGGTAGCCTGGGGTGGCTTTAAAATATACCCACAAACTTTGACCTTCCTCCCTTTAAAAGGTGGAGCCTAATTCCCCGTCCCTTGAAATCACACCCTGCCAGTGCACCATCAGAAAGCAGATTCTCCAGCGCTGTCTTGCCTCTGCATGCACTGCAGCACTGGCTGACATTTTAACTGCAACCTTAGGATAGGCATTTCTTGTTGTTTCTAGACACTATGTTTTGGGGGGATTTGGTGTGCAGCAATGAGTGACTATTACACTCTCCAACCATAGGGCATGAGAGACCTTCTCTGACAGTTCACCTTCTCTGTGAGCCAGACTTCAGGCACAAGTTGTCTCAGTTCTTAGATCCCTAAACTCAAAGAGAGTTTGAGCTATTCACAAATTTTCCAATTTTGTCTCCTCTGGGCACCTAAACGATTGTTCTTGCTCACGCTTGTGAAGTTAGGAGTGGCCATGTGACTCAGCTGAGTCAATAAGCAGCTGTCATTTGTGAGTGAAAGCATTTAAGATGACTGTGAGATTCACCTTTTTCTCTCTGGAGGACTCCAGACCAGCCAACTATCATGATATAAGTGAGAAAAAAAATATTGTTTTAAGTCGCTGAGATATTGGGGATGCCTATTACATCAGCATAACCCATTCCATACTGACTAATATGACATCTTTCACATCCCCTACCCCTCAGACTCAGGAAGCCCCATGTTCACATCCAAAGACATTGTTTTCTTTCCTACTTGCTTCCCTGCCTGATCTCATCCCCACAACTCCAAGAGTACCCTTTTTCCCTTTCATATTTAATAACAGCAAGTAGAAAAGATTGAGTAAACTATAGTCTTCAGTTCATAAAACGTAATTTTAAAATAGCCAGTAACCCGGGCTGAGGTTGAGGCTCAGTGGTGGAGCACTTGCCTAGTATGTGTGAGGCCCTGGGTTCAATCCTCAGCACCACATAAAAAATAAATTAATTAAATTAAATAGCCAGTAACCAAAATTGTGCTGACTATTCTCACCTACACATTATATATTATTTAATCCTCAGAACAACCCTGCAATGTATGGATGATTACTCTCCCATTTCATGAGTGAAGCAAATGAGGCACAGAGGTTAGCTAGGGTGAGGTTACCCGGCTATGAAGGGAAAGAGCCAGGATTCAAACCCAAGCAATCTGACCCCAGCTGAACTGTGGCCACCACTGGCTCACATATAGTCCAGCTCTGATTTTATTTCTTACTTCCTCGTTCACCACCCCATGGCTCTGTTTTCCTTCCTGCCAGAAGCCACTCTTCTATCCGGTTTGCTGTGTGGCTTTTTGTTTGCAGGTGTTCTTTACACATTGTTTATTTTCGTTTCGAATGGATGCAGTTACTTCCTCTTGAATTTATGTCAAAGGTACAGAGCTACAGGTGTCACTCTGGTTTGTGCTGGCTTTCATTCAGATCCGTTCCTGTGGCCAGGTGGACAATCTGGTCTGTCCCTGCTGGCTGCTGCCTTTGGAGCCCTCTACCATGGCCCCCACCTGCTCAGTGCTGGACACCAGCTGCCCTAAGCAACGCTGTGGTGAACATCTTTGTGCCTGGAGGGAAATTGTGGAAACTCCTTCAGGTGCTTTTACCAAGGGGTAGAACCCTTGGGATGTGGAATTGGATGGTCCTTAATTGAAGTACGTCTCACCAAATTGCTCTTTAGCATGGCTGCAGCAGAGAAACCAAGCCAGTTCTGTGTCCTGATTCTTCCCATCTAAGACGGGAACCTAAAGGAGGGGGGTTTGGCAGTGAACTTGGTCTCCCATCCCCTTCCCACAGCTGCTTCTCAGGACCAATAACAGCCTCTTGACCAGCTGCCTGGAAGACAATGGTAAGAGGGGAAGAGAGAAAGAATGTGCACGTCAATCTTAAATGACTGTCCCCACTGCTTTAGCTAGTATTGTCACAGGCTAATGCTGGAAAGGGCAGGTGTCCACAGCTGCCAGCCAAGATCAGCTCCCTCAGGCGGGGAGAGGAGAGAATTTTACTCGGTGTGAGCGCCCCCTCATGGTATGATGGCTCCAATACACCCCGAGGATGTCCATTAACAACCAGCTAATTTAATCACATCTAATTCGAGTGGTATTTAGGGTACCTCTACATGCTGGGCCAGCAATGTCCAATCAAAATATAATGGAAGTTCTATATATAATTTAATCTATGTATTTTAATTTAATTCATTAGCCACGTTAGGAAGAGGAAATGAAAGACATGATTTTAATTATGAGAATGTATTCTAAATAATCCAATATATCCAAAATATTATCCTTTCAACTTATAACCAATATAAAAATGATGGACAAACTACTTTAATTTCCTTGCATCAAGAATTATGTTGTTGCTCTATCTATGTATTATTCTACCATCATCTATAACTAATTAGAACAAATTTTAAAATTTTTTTTTAAAAGTCCAAAAGCAAAACACACACACACACACACAAAGAATTACAAATGTTTTCAAGACAACACATGTCAATTTGGACACCAAACTTTCATGAAAATATTTCGTCTATATTTAGATTTCCTAATATTTGCAGTTGAAGTAAACTCACACACTAGAGTGGTTCCATCATATTTAAAAGTTTCCCTGACTATAAGATCATTTTTTTTTCAATTTTAGGTCTAAATTAAATTAAGTAAAATTAAGAGTTCAGCTTGCCAGTCACCCCACATTCCCAGTTCTCAGTTGGCACAGGTGACTAGTGGCTACAATGTTGAAGAGCAGGACCATGGGCTCACACCACCTCACCTGGGAACAAGGTGGGATGTCCTGAAGGCCAGTTTACAGAGGGGAAACAGCTCAGAAAGGGAAACTGACTTTTCTTCTTCTTTCTCATTCATAAATATTTATTGAACACCTAGCATATGTACATTTCTTCTCATGATTGGGACATAACAGTAAGAAAGATAGACATAATTCCTGGTCTCAAGGAATGTGGGAGGGGAGGGGAGGGGCGGGGAGGGGAAGGGAGAGAGAGAGAGAGATATTATAATTAGTGCTATGAACGAGCCAACAACATGATGAATTAGAGCAAGGGTTGCCCAACTATGGCTTGTGAGCTAAGGAAGGTTTTTACTTTTCTAATGGTTCAAAACAATCAAAAGAGAATAATATTTAGTGACATAAGAAAACCATGAAATTCTAAATTTCAGTGTTCACATATGAAGTTATAGAAACCCAGCCATGCTCACTGCGGCTGCTTGCCTTTTACAATATCGACAGAGAACATAGGAACCACCGTCTAAAATATTGGCAGTCCAGCTCCTCACAGAAAAACTGTGCCCAGCACACCTGCTCTACTGACGGTAATCTGAGGGCTTCTGGGAAGAGGTGACTTGACCCAAACGGTTAGAAGGCATCTGGGAAGTCTGAGTGTGGATGGATTAGTGCTGATATTACATTTCCTAAGTGTGGCAACCACTGTGATTTTTCTAGAAGGGCCTTGGTCCTTCTTATAAATTCTATAAAACCCAATTTATGGCACTTTATTATGGCAGCCCGAACTAAGACAATTCCCTCCCCCCCTCCTCCTTCTACTCCCCCCCCAAGATGATCTTAGTCTGACCATGGGCCAGCCAGGTGGGGCATTTCCAGCCACCAGCACAATGAGAAATAAATTCTGAATATGAGACCCAATCTATGGGACTTCCTTATCGCAGCCTGAACTAAGACAATGTCTCCCTCTCTCCTTCTCCTCCCCCCTCCCCCTCCTCCTCCCCCCTCCTCCTCCCCCTCTTCACCCTCCCCCTCTCCTCCTCCTCCCCTCTCCTCATCCTCCCCTCTCCTCCTCCTCCTCTCCCTCTTGCCCCCATCTCTCTCCCTCTCTCTCTCTCTCTCTCTCTCTCTCTCTATATATATATATATATATATATATATATACACACACACAAATATTTAGTTTTTATTAATTTAATCTTTATTAAATGAATGCTTAACTATTATAGCAATAGGGATTAATTTCACCTTACTGAGTGTCTGTTTAAAATGATATTTAATGTCATTTAAGACATTAGAGAGAGGGAGAAATAGAAACAGCAAATGCAAAGTATTGACAGGCATATTTGATTGTTTATTATAGCATCCTTTCAACTTTTCTCTTGATTTGAAAATTTTCAAGATAAAATTTCAGGCTACACTTTCCTCACCAGTCCCCTCGGAGTGGCCTCACATCTAGAAGGTGCCACTCACTGGATTGGAGCCAGGAGCCCCCAGACCCCACCTCCGCTTATTGGCTTCCTGCCTGGAGTGCAGTTTGTCATTATTGCATTTTTAAATGTTTACCAGGCCAGACCTTTCTCTTCTCCCAGCCCTTCCCACCCCTGCTAGGCTAAACCCCAAGACTCAGCTTAGGTCAGTGAATCTCGGGCACCTAGCAAATAGTAGGTGTGCTGTTGACACTTGAGTGAATGGGACCTTCGTGTGGGTGAAAACACTGTCTGAGCTCTGCATCTGGTTCTTAGAACAGGGACTAGCACATAGTAGGTGTTCAACAAATATGTGTACACGGAATGAATGCACTTGAGAGAAATTACGAAGTTCCAGGAGAGCAGAGCAGAGAGTGTCTCCCTGGCTCCTAGAACCACATCCCGCACACAGTAGGTGCGCAGCCAGCTCCTGCCCCAACCGCCCCAGCGCCCTCCGGGGGGCCTCTGGGGCCTCGCCCCTCCCTGTGACGTCACAAAGGCCCCGCCATGCCTCTGGCGCTGGCCCTGGTGCTGCTCTGCGGCCTGAGCGCCCGTGGAGGCTGGGGCTGCCTGCAGTGCGACCACTCGGTGCAGGACGCCCTGAGCCAGCTGCGCTCCGCGCTCATCCCCAGGCGCTTCCACCGGGAGCGGCTGCAGGCCCGCGCGCAGGCCCTGCTGCTGGGCATGGAGGGGCCTTTCTTCAGGGACTACTCGATGAACGCGTTTGTGGGGAAAGTGGGTGCGTGCGGGGCTGGAGGAGGAAGTCCGGCGGCCCTCAGCGGGATGGCGAGGGAAGCCCCGGGATCGCTCCCCAAAAGCGGGAGGACCGGGCCGGCCGGGAGCAAGGCGGGTGGGGGTCACTGGGCTCGGTAAGGAACCCTCTGGAATTTTCTCTCCTCTCCCGCCAGAGGTAAACCAACTGGAAGGCGTGGCGACGTTTATCAAGAACCAAACAGAGCACATAAAGGTCAACTCTCTGTCAGGTAGGAGCCTGGAAAGCCTTTCCCCAGCTCCTTCCTCGCCCTCCTCCATTTCCGCTAGAAAAACAAAAGCCACCCGTGTCTGCCCCCACTGAGTGTCTGGCGCCGGTGAAGGCGACCGTTCCTGCAGGTGGGAGCTGCCCTTTACACAGGAAGAAAGGCTGAGGCTCCTATGACATCAGACTTTCAAGTCCCCACTGCTGTGACAACTCCAGGTCACTTTGGCTCACGCTAACCAGTTCTAACTGGAACATGTTCTGACAGGTTTTATGGTTGGAGGGATTATCCTTATCTCCCTGAGTTCTGGGATCTGGTCTGCGCAAGGGTCACAAAAGTGACAACTTGTGTTCTGCTTATCATTGGCCTTTCGGGACTATATTTCTCCTGCAGATAACAGGTAGTTTGCTGAGGACTGTAACATGTCCTCTGCACTCAAACCAGGCAGGTTTGCAGGACAATTTTTTGTTTGTTTGTTTGTGGTGGTGCTGGGGATTGAACCCAGGGTCTTGTGCTTGCAAGCCGGGCACTCTACCAACTGAGCTATATCCCCAGCCCCAAGGTTGCAGGTAAATTGCTTTTTTAAAAAATCCATTTTTTAGTTGTAGATAGACATAATACCTTTATTTTATTTATTTATTTTCATGTGGTGCTGAGGATTAAACTCAGTGCCTCATACATGGGAGGCAAGTGCTCTTCCACTGAGCACAATCCCAGTTGAGTAAACACTCTACCAACTGAACTATATCCCCAGCTCCCTGGTAAATTGCTTTTAAAAGTGAAAGCATATGGGGTCAGCACAGTTAGCCCAGTTTATATAATTATTCTCTTAACCTAACGTTCCTACCACTCATAACTGTTTGTCCCCTATCACTAACCCCCCCCCCCCCCCCCGATCCCCAGCCACTCCTAGAGAGCCCTTCACAGGGCCTGTAGACAAACCTCATTCTCTTTGCTTCACTTTATTGCACTTCCCAGATACTGCATTTTTTACAAACTGAAGATTCGTGGGGACCATGCAAGCAAGGGAGTCTGTTGGAGCCATTTTCTCAACAGCATATGCTCACTTCCCATCTGTGGGTCACATTTTGGTGATTCTTGCAGTGTCTCAAACTTTTTCATTGTTCTGTCTTTTTAAAAAAAGTTTTGTTTTAGTTCTAGGTGGACACAATAAACTTTATTTTATTTTTATGTGGTGCCGAGGATTGAACCAGTGCCTCACTCATGCTAGGTGAGCACTCTGCTACTGAGCCACAACTCCAGCCCCTGTTCTGTCTTTTATAGTGATCTGTGATCAGTGATTTTTGAAGTTACCATTGTAATTATTTGGGGCACCATGAGCTGCACCCATGAAAGATAGTATGATTGTAATTGGTAAAAGTGTGTGTGTGCATTCTGACTGCTCCACGGACCAGCTGTTCCCCTATCTCTCTCCCTCTCTTCAGAACTCCCAATTCCCTGAGACACAACAGTATTGAAATTATGCCAGTTAATAACCTTTCAAAGCCCTCTAAGTATTCAAGTGAAAGGAAGAGCCGATCTCATTTTAATCAAAAGCTAAAAATGATTAAGCTTAGTGAGGAAGGCAAGTTGAAAGCCAACAAGGCAATCAAAAGTTAGGCCTCTTTCACCAGTTAGCCAATTGCAAATGCAAAGGAAAAGTTCTTGGAGGAAATCAAAAGTGGTATTCCAGTCGGGCATGGTGGTGCATGCCTGTAATCCCAGCAGCTCAGGAGGCTGAGGCAGGAGGATCACAAGTTCAAAGCCAGCCTCAGCAACTTAGCAAGGCCCTAAGCAACTTAGTTAGACCCTGTCTCAAAGTAAAATATAAAAAAAAGGGCTTGGCATGTGGCTCAGTGGTTAAGTATCCCTGAGTTCAATCCCTGGTACAAAAAAGGCCTACTCCAGTGAGCACGCGAATGAGAAGAAGGCACCACAGCCATGTTGCTGATATGGAGGAAGTCTTGGTGATCTGGATGGAAGATCAAACCAGCCACAACATTCCCTGAAACCAAAGACTAATCCAGAGAGAGAACCAAATTCGCTTCCATTCTGTGAAGGCTCACAGAGGTAAGGAAAGAGCAGAAGAAAAGTCGGAGGCTAGCAGAAGCTGGTTCATGAGGTTCAAGGAAAGAAGCCATCTCCATGTCAGCAAAGTGCTGCTGGAGAAGCTGCAGCAGGTTATCCAGAAGGTCCAGCTAGGATGGAAGAGAGGGGCGGCTGCACTCTCCAGTGGGTTACCAACACAGACGAAATGGCCCTATGTCAGAAGTCGATGAGTCTAGGACTTCCATAGCTAGAAGTCAATGCCTGCCTTCTAATCTTCAAATGATGAATCCACATTGGAACCAGTGTTCATTAACCATATCCAGAAATCTTTGGACCCTTAAGAATTTCATTAAATTTCTGCCGGTGCTCTATGAGGGGACAACAAAGCCTGAATGAGAGCACATGTATTTACAGCGTGGTTTACTGAATATTTTAATCCCCTGTTGAGATCTACTGCTCAGAAGGAAAAACAAAAGATTCAAAATGTTATTAGAATCATGGTGCCTCTATCTACTAAGAGACCAGTGACTTGGGATTGAATTGAACAAGAATATCCAGAATTCAGTTTTAGACTTAGGAGTTTGAGATTCCTTAGATATCCTTGAGGGGGTCGTTGGATATATGAATCAGGACTTCAGTGAGAGTTCTAGACTGTTGTAAAATATGAGAGTTGTTAGTGTACAGAACAGCTCTATCCCACTGAAACAGGATGTGATTCACAGTTGGAGTCACATCCTTAATCTGAAAATTTTAATAGTCACATTTTAATAAAAAGCAAATAAGTGAAATTAATTTTAATATGGTATCTAACCAAATATAAAAAATATTACCATTTCAACATGAGATCAATGCTTACATTTTTCATTACTGTGTCTCTGAAATCCAGTTTTATACCCAGAACTCATTTCAGCCCAGATGAGCCCATCCAAGTGTGTGGCTAGTGGCTACCATACTGGACAATACTAGTCCAGGTAATACTAAAGCCATTGGCTGGATTGGACTGAAATCAGAAAGGAATTGGCATAGAGACAGAAAAGATTAGGGCAGAGGATATCAAGTCCACTTACAAGATAAAGAAACTGAGGCCAAGAGAGTGTGGTTTGGAGCAGGCCCCCACAGTGGATCAGAAGCTAGATGCAGTATCGGCCAGGCCTTACACAGGTTGAACATCCCTTATCCAAACTATCAGAAACCAGAGGTGTTTCAGGCTTCAGAATTTATCAGACTTGGATTGTTTTTACAGACTACCAGTTAAGCATCCACAGTCTGAAACTCTGAAATCCAGAATGCATCCCAGCTTTTGGATTTGGGAGCATTTCAGATTTTCAGATTAAGGGTGGTCCAACCTGTATCTTCCCAAGGGACCCTGGTCTTGGTTACTGTTGGTAAATGGAGAGGAACTTCCTCATCCTTACTATTGGGAGCTGCTGGATTGGGTTTGCTGGATACTCCACCCCACAAGGGTGTCTTTCTGTTCTCAGATGGGCCTCTGCTGGAAGAACTGGTGGACTTTAGGGAGAGAGTGACCAAGGAACTCAAGAAAGTTTTGAAATCCTATGAATCAAAAGGTGCAATATAGCTCTCCCCACCAAATCCCCTCCTCCCTTTCCCCATTGAATCCCTTCTCCTATTTTTTCTTCCAAACTTCTTCCTCTCCTCCCCCGCAACTCAGCCTTCATCTCTCCTCAATAGTCTTTTTCTTTCCTTGCCTAGATTCACCTTTCCCTCCCTTTTCTGGTTCCTTCCCAATTAAATCCCCAAAGTGCTGTCCCAAGTAAACTCACTTCCCGCTCTTTTCTCTTGCAGCCTGTGATCGAAAAACTTGCCGTGAGTCCGGATTTATTGTCTACTCCTCCCTTCTCTACCTTCCCACAGTTTTTACACTGTTCTCCCCCCATATCAAGTCCTGGTACCACACATACTCCACTGGGCAATTCCCCTGCCCCAAGCATAGTACTTAGGAAAACTTGGTTTGGGGGCACTTATAAAGTTGTTGCAACCTGCAAAAAAGTATTTTGGGAGTCACATCAGTATAGGATAGGGTACTGAATCAACAAATAAGCCCCTAGATGTAAGTGGGGGCTTATAAGGATCTGTTTCTCCCTGATCTAAATTCCACTGAGAGGCAGCTCTTCTAAGAGGTAACATCGGGAGGCACCACTTACTGTACCTTCCCCATACTGTACCTTCCAAACGTAATTCAGAAGACAATAGTGATCACACCGGATGTTTTCTTTTCAGGCTAGGAAATGATACACACTACTCTGTTCATTTTCATTGGCTAGAATTGTATCACATGATTGCAACCTGATGCAGGGGAGCCTGGGAAATGTAGTTTTCCTGTGTCCACAGTTAGAGGAAAAGACAGATGAATGCTCATCACCCTGTCTATGCCCCTGGGGTTCTAAAATAGGAAAAAATTCAAATTCAAAGTTAACAAATGTTTAATTGAATCTTTACAAATGGAATGTTGGATCAACTGGACTAATGCAACTCAATTTAACTCTTCAATAATTATACAAAGGTTATTTTTTATGTGAACTGTCAGTGCATTTTGCTCAACTTACTTTGCAGTGCAGTGGGTCCTCCGAAATTAAGGAGGACCAAGAGACCCCCCTCACTTCTTCATTATTCCTTCCCACCCCTTGCCAGTTCTCTGGACACAACCTCATCCTACTACTTCCCCTTCCTCCTGTTTAGGCTTACTCAAAGAAGAGGTCTGGGACTGTTTAAAATGCCAGAAAATCAATCCCGCATGTATCAATGAAAAGTTCTGCTTTGGTAAGATTCTGGGTTAAGGAGACATGGGACAGTGCATGAGATGGAGGCAGTGCATATGCGTTTTGAGACTTACCCATGCAGCCTTGAGCTCTGCCCTTACCATCTGCGTACGGTGTTGCCTAGGTGTTGCCTCCTCATTCTGAAACTCACTATGTCTCTTCTGTTGAATGTGAACAATCCTCTGGAACTTTACAATGTCCCAACACCAGAGTGGCAGGTGCTAGAAAAATAGCTTTTTCTTACCTTTGCCATTTTTAGAAGTCCAAAAAGATGTGCCAAATTGATTCATTTGTTCAGAAATCTCTATATCTCCTTATAGCAGAGAGAATAGTAGAATGAATCCACGTCCATCCTTCAGGATTGAATAGCCATGCTGGATCATTGCACATGCTGTTCCTTTTCTGTCACACTGCTCCCCCACACACACACTTCATAGAGGTCTCAAAGGCCTTTCTCCAGAAAATCCTCTCTGATCACAGTCCCTAAAGTGGTACTTTCCATGAAATTATGTTCACAATTATTATTATTATTCCACACTTTCTTCACCTATTTTATTCTTTGCCATAGTACTTTAAAAGAAACCACATACATTCATGGTGTCAGCCTCTAAAAATAAGGATTTTCTTGTTTTGCAGTAGTTGGAAATGACCTCTGGGGCACTCAACCACTGAACTACATTGCCAGCTCTTTTTATTTTGTTTTGAGGTGGTCTCACTAAGTTGCTAAGACTGGCCTAGAACTTGTGATCCTCCTGCCTCAGCCCACTGAGTAGCTGGAATTACAGGCATATGCCACCATACTTGGCTCCAGGACATTTCCTTACACAATCACAATGCTGTAGCCACACCCAACAAACCTAACAGTGATCCCTCAATAGCAAATAATTTCTAAGTCCCTCTATCAGCTTCTCTGAATATTTTTCACACCTGCTGTTCAAATCAGGATTCAACAAAAGGACTTCCCATATCATTCAATTGTTCGGTTTTTCACTTTGCTTTTAATCCAGAAATGTCTCCTTTTATTTTTTCCTCGGTGACATGGGGAGTTGACATGTTCTATTGACTGTCCCATTTCCACATATGTCTGCTTCCTTTCTATGAAGTTTAACAACAAATATTTTGAGCACCCTGTAATGCCCCGAACTGTGGATCATTGAAGTGGGAGACTGAAGGAGTTCCCGCCCTCGAGGAGCCTGAGTTGTGTGTCGGAGGATATTTACTCTCCTCCCTAGCCTAGTCCTTCCTAGTCTAGTCCTCCAGACACCAGCCAGGATGATCAGAAATCTCTCTACACATTTCAAAATTGTCCCTGATTGAGAACTACAGTTACATGATAATTACTTGAACAAATAAATTAACTAATTAAAGACAGCAAAAGGCATTCTAATGAAAACAGAACTGAACGACTTGATGGAAAGAGTCTGGAAGAGGGAGCCTAGTCACTAAAAGAGTGCAGACTCAGGGGCCTCTGTGAAGAGGTCTGAGCTTTGAGATCTAAGAAAATGAGTGAGGGGAACAGTAAGAATGTCGAAGGGAATAGCGTGCAGAGATCCAGCAAGATTAAACCACAGGCAAGGTGAGCTGGCGTGGCCAGCGCTGAGTGCGTGAAGAGAGAGCAAGTGGGTTAAGGAGAGAAGTGGGCAGCCAGAATCCGGGACAAGTCACTTGGGAGCCCAGGTGGGTCGTGGTGGGCTGTGGTGAGGGCTTGGACTTTTACTCCAATGGGAGCCTCCGCTGCAGGACTCGGCTCAGGAGGGACCGGAGGTGGTGTGTTGACTGCGCCCTCTGGAGGCCATGTGAGGAAATGTGGGGAAGGTGCAGGGAATCTCGTGAGTGAAAAGCACGGGTCCGGGCTAGACCAGTTTGGTAGCTGTAGAGGTGGATTGGATTCTGAAGGCCAAGTCAAGAGGCT